TAGCGAGATACCTTTACAGTAAATAGCAGTGTCGTCTCCGAATAGGGAGAGCTAAACACCTTCCGACGGGATGGGAATGTCGTTGGTGAACAGGATGTACAGCAGAGGAGCAAGTACTGAGCCCTGAGGGACACCAGCTTTGATAGGGCGCTGTGAAGATAGCGTGCCTTCGTGTCTAAAACGAAAGGTACGATGCTTTAGATAAGAGGCCACGAGACGTACTAGACGATCGGGGAGACCTATTTTGTATAGCTTGTAGATAAGGCCTGTATGCCAGACTCTATCAAAGGCTTTAGCTATGTCGAAAAAGACCGCGATAGTCTTATGACGATGAGGATAAAAACCGGTGAGGATATATTCCATAATACGGTGAACTTGTTGGGGACATGAGTGTTTGGCTCGGAAACCGAATTGATGGGGAATAAAGAGGGTCACCATCTGTGGGAAACTGGTGGCGCCTCATGCGAGTTCGGATGACTCTTTCGAAGAGCTTGCCCATGGTCTTGTGGAGGCTAATGGGGTGATGACTGGAGGGGAGGTTGAGAGGCTTGCCTGGCTTGGGAATACCAATAACAGTTGCCTCTTTCCACGTAGTGGGAAAGTAACTAAGGTTGAAACAGGCGTTGAAGATAATAGTTAAAAAGGTTAACACCTGCTCCGTAAAGTGTTTTAGGGCTTGGTTGGAGATGCCATCCGCGTCCGGAGCCTTTTTGGGCTTGAGTCCTTTTATGAGGGATGAAATCTCATCATTGGACACAGAGATATGTTCGGAGGCTGTAGGGGGTGAGTTCCGGCGGCGGATCTCATCCTCCACTGCCTGGACGTGTCGACGTGTGACGGATAGACGGGTTGAGAGCTAGGAGAGCATTGTGCGGCAATGCTATCTGCAAAGCACTCAGCCTTTTTCTCTTCCTCGAAGGCAACCGTACCGTCGGGACGTGTAAGAGAGGGAGTGTGGGTAATAGCGTCTATGCGGAAGGCTCTAGCCATCTGATAGTACGCTGTATGAGATGAAGAGATATTCTCCATGAGTATACTCTTTTCGAGGTCTCGAAATTCAGAGAGGCGGAAACGGAGTTCTCGTTGAAGACGATTGGCCGTGCGCCTATATTCGGGGGTGGGATATTTTTCTGCTCTCCGGAAAGCAGCTTTCTTGGCTTTTAATAGGTTGCTAATATGTAGGGAAGTCCACTATTGTTAGCGACCGGGACGACCCTTTCGTTCTCCTTAAGGGAGGATTTAATAAGGGTGGAGGGTGAATCGACCGCGGTGTCGATTTTTTCGGGACGGTCTGAGTCCGACGGTAGGGAGATGGTAGAGTCCTGTGAGTCCAGAGCTTTAGGTAGGGACTCCTTGAATCTATGACTATGGATGGTAATATCAAGAGACTGCGTGATATCGAGCAGTATCTTGCCACTAGGGGAGGTAGTACGGCATGTCCATTCAGTATGCTTGGAGTTAAAATCTCCAAACATAATGACTGAATTGCCTAAAGATAAAATAGCCTCAAAATCTTTTTTGAGGGGATGGTTCCTGAAGGGATGTAACAGGAGGCTATGAAGATGGACTGATGTCCAGTCATAGCTAGCCTGCATACCGTGGCTTCCATGTTGGTAAGCTGCGGAGTAGAAATGGGCGAGCAGTGAAGTATCTTCTTGTAATAGATGGCCGTTGCGCCACCTCGGCGGTCGGGTCCGTCATTACGAAGAAGAGAGAAGTTTTTAATAGAAAGGCCTTTAGTGTCCTTAGTTTTGAGATTAGTTTCCTGTAGGAGGAGGAAATCGGCTTCACGATTCCGAAGAAAGAGCTTAAGCTTTGGGAGGTTATTTCGCAAACTGCGAATATTAAAGGATACAAGCGATAAACTCTTAGGTTTGATACGACCGTGAGACTGGTAGTGCAAACTGCTCTGTCATTGTGAAGTTAAGTTAATTAAGTTAACTTAACTTACAACGATCACAAAAGATTATGATGCTCTGTAAGAGCGAGGAGATGGTCCTGAGGGGACTTCGCAGCACGCAACTTGCGTGCTAACACAGCAATTTCCCCAACGTCGATGTTCCTAATAGCGGAATACAACGTTTTTAGGTCTTCAATTGTGAGCTGTGATTGTTGTTGTTGTGGGGCGGAGGTTGTCCGCGGTGGGTCTGCCTTATTGGGGCCCCAGGGAAAGACTGGAGGCTGCATAGGCTTAGAGAAGCCCGGAGGGGGCCGAATAATGCCCTGAGGGGGCCTAGGGGGACCCTGAGAGGGCCGAGAGAAGCCCTGGATGGGCTGAGAAAGGCCCTGACAGGGACGTTGGTAGAGAGCCGGGAATGAGCGGTCATTGACCGGCGGTGGAGCCTGTCTACTGGGGCGAGGGTGAGGTGCGCAAGGGCAGCCTCTGTAGTTTGCCGGGTGGCCTGTTTGTTTACACAGGACACATGCGGGTGGGGATTCTGCGTCTTTGGGCCGAGGACACTCTTTGGTGTTGTGGGGTTCAAGGCACTTAACGCGGCACCTGGGTGGGGCGGAGCAGTTGGCCGCTGCATGACCGTATAGCTGGCAGCGGTGGCACTGCGCCGGGAATGCACGCCTATGTGGGGGCTCAACTCTCACTCTCGACAGACCACAGACTGTGCGTACCTGTCGGAAGATGGCTTTTGCCTCCGGGACGCTTGTTAAGATGACTAGGGCAAGATTGCACCTTTTTGCCCGTTCTTCTGTGCATTTTGTGCACGGCTTCTACGGGGAAACCTTGGGACTTAAGGTCCACAAGGATTTCCTCGTTGGAGAATTCGAAGGGGACGCCTCGGATGACGGCCCTGACTTTACGCTCTTCCGGAAGAGCGTGAGTATGATATGAAACTCGTTCGGCTGTGAATAGCCTGGTCATTTTACGGAAATCATCGATTGAATTGGGGATGATTTTAGTAGTCTCCCCGAGGTTGATGGCGTGGTCATAATTAATACCTGCGTCGTAGCAGGCTTTCGATAATTTAGTGAATTTTGCCTTGTCTCTTAGGAAGACAGGGGGCGGGACTTGCTTCTTGGCAAGGACTGGAGCACATTGAGAGGCTGGATTGGTCGTTGCGAGGATGTCTAATGACATAAGTGAGACTGCGACAGCGGCGGGGGCTGCGGGGGCAGAGGCGGCAGCGGGAGCTGCGGAGGTTGTAGGAGCGGCAGGGGCCGCTGAGACAGGGAGGGTGCGTTTTTTCGGGGCGCGTTTACCGCTGCGCCTGGAGTTCACCGTGGTGAATGAGGAGTCCATGGTTTCGTCGGAGTCACAGGACTCCGATGAACCGATGCCAGAATTGGTGGCGGGCCTCTTCCGGGAGGCCGACGCAGAGGACTCGGAGGGTTCGTACTCCATTTCTAAGGGTGAAAAGGAGTTCCGTGTCTCTAAGTAAGTCACGATTACGGGCGGCGGTTGGAGTGCCTGAGGTGCAGGGGGAGTGACTTGGGCGGCGATGGCGGGGGGGACCGTCTCATCGAGGTTTAGGGTCGTTCCAAGAGTATGGTTTAGGGCGGCGACGAGGGACTTAAGTAGGCTAACTGTGGACATTTTGAGGCAGTAGTTCTATGAACGGTAAGAATTGGGACTGGTCCCTGTTCTCAGTAGAACAGGGACTTGAACACGAGCCGTACTACGATACAATATACACGTATAACAATAGAACAGAGAAAAAAATATATATATATATAATAACAGAGAAATAACAAAATCAACAATAACAATAAGATAACAATAAAGTAACAGTAACAAGCGGAGGTCAGTCAAACCTCCCCGCCCGAAGACAGAGGGCAAGACCTGTTAGCGGTAAAAGACTCACCAATGCGTCGACGCTGTACAGAGCGACCAGGACAGCGGAGGCGCGAGAGCGAGATAGCACTACCGTACAGGGACGAAAGCGCGGACTACCTGGACACGACCGCTCGAGAGCGATGCCACAGGCAGAATGTGAATTGTGTGCTCGTTTGTCACACTTATTCTATAAAAAAGCGGCCAAGTGTGCGTCGGACTCACTCATGAAGGGTTCCGTAGCAGCAAGTAACATAATATAAAAGTTCTTGTAGTTCGTTGTAACTTTGATCGCTGTTTTAATCTGAATTATGACGTATTAAAAAAAAACTACTTACTAGATCTCGTTCAAACTAATTTTTTGTGGAAGTTTACATGGTAATATACATCATATATATTTTTAGTTTTATCTTACTCTTATTTAAGAAGTTACAGGGGACACACATATTATACCACTTTGGAAGTATCTCTCGCGCAAAATATTCAGTTTAGAAAAAAATGATATAAAAATGTCTTTTTTGAAGACCTATCCATAGATACCCGTAAACAAGTATGGGTTTAATGAAAAAAAATTGAGTTTCAGTTCTATAGGGAACCCCCAAAATTTATTGCTTTTTTTCAATGCGGTTCACAGAATACATCTACTCACCAAGTTTTAACAGCATAGTTTTTATAGTTACGGAAAAAAGTGGCTGTGACCTACGGACGGACAGACAGACAGACATGACGAATCCGTAAGGGTTTAGTTTTTTGCCATTCAGCTCGTATATCTAAGGAATGAGCTTCTGTTGCCTTTGCCATTCATCATGTTGTGTATTGTTGACACAAAATTGCTAGAATGTTGTAGGTAAAGGGTTAAATTGGGGAAGCTGATGAATACTGTTATTATTTTCAAATAAGTAAATTGATTATTAAAACCACTTTTATGGATTTCATCGCATTTCCCCGCGCCGCCGTTAATTCCCGATGTTTGACGTGCTGGAAAGCTCCCGAAACGTCGGGAATTAAACTTCAATTAAAATTAAACGCGATAAAATCCTTTAAAGTGGTTTTAATCAATGTGGAGTGTTTACGTTAATATAAGAAATCATTAATTATATAGTTAATAAACTTATATACAATAATAATAATAATCAAATGAGTTCAAAAATAATGAAGAGAATTTAGTTAACCACGAAAAAATGTAACAGACTAAAATTCGTAACTCTTTTTGTAGATACCGGAGACCTTCTCATGAACCCTGAGAATGGCTATGAATGGGGAGGTCAAGCAGCGCGCACTGCTGATGGCAAGCAAGTGCAAACCGCCGTCAATATTATTAATGCAGTACTGATGCGGAAGAGTGCAGTTGCACAACTCACCAAGTACGTAAACAGAATAATTAAATTCTATTTGCGTCGTTCATAATGACTTCTGTTTATGTTATATTTTTGTTAGCTTTAAATGGATTTATGTATTCGTTTTATTTGTTTTTCTTTATTATAAATTGAGATACGGAAACACTTCTGAAATATAAATACCACTTTATATATTTTTTTAAATCAAGTAAATATAAAAATACATAAACAGTCCAGGAGATGATTTTAAATATCAAATTGGTAAGGAAAATAAATTAATATTAATTATACAATACAAGCTGAATTTGTATATCGGATAAAGTTAAAATTATTTCTATTCAGATTAGCTAAGTTATAGTCTAATAAGCCCTGCTGCTGGACACAGGTTTCCTTTCATTGAGAGGGTTTTATAACAATGAAATGTCCGCCACGCTGCGCCGATGCGTGTTGGCGAACGAAATATTTTTTCTTATTTCTCAGACATGCAGGTTTGCTCAGGATGTTTTTCTTTACCGCCGAAAACTTGGTAAATAAAAGAAAAATAAAAAGCTAATTACCTATCAGTTAAATAAGCTCAAAGATATAAAACAACAGAATTATTAAGTCTATTCTGTTTTTAATATAAGTTGAATGTATTTTATACCAAAATCAACTATTACATAGGAGTATTATTAAATTTAATATTTATTATTATTATTTTTATTTATTGTGTAGTATTAATATTCTATTACGATGGTTTTACTAAACGTTGTCGTTCAACTAGCGGCCTGAAAGATAATCGCAATTTAGCCGTAATTATATACTAATTTTGTTAGTTAGCTGCGACATTTACATTTTAATTAACTAAATTGTTTTTTTTTATATTTAAACTATATAAATTGTTTTTAGGTATGATCTAATGCTTGGTGTGACAAAGGCAGAAGCTTATTTTGCGTTTAGCGGTGACGACGTCCAATACGGAATTGAAGCTGACCGAAGATCGAAAATTTTGAAGTCCTTTGTCCGTAACACATACAGTTATCATTTGTCGGAAATTTTGGCCACAATTATTAATGAATATACTGACTGGGAGAAGCCGGTTCAACATCCAATCAATATAAGGCATGATTTTATTGTTATATAAATATAATTTATATTTCATAAGGTAGTAGCGTAAGAGATTTCACCGCTTCAATCGTCACTAGGGTTTCGTAAGGGACTAATGTTCGAACTGAAAATTTGAGGGCTTCGTGGCGCAGTGGCTTAGAAATGAGTTACAGCGCTAAGGGCCGCGGGTTCGAATCCCGCACGGAACAAGTATTTGTACGGTGTATAAATAATTGTTCCGGAACTGTATGTTTGTCCTTGTGAAATTTATGTTTGTAAACTGCCCCCACGATACAGGAGAAAATCCTAGTGTGGATGTAACGTTAAAAATACTGAAGCCTTTAATAATACTGGTTTTCTATACCCTTCAAACCGGAACGCAACAATGCAAGCTGCTACTTAGCGGCTGAAATGAGTTGATACCTACCTAGAGGGGCCCAAGGAAGAAAGGAAGTTCAACTACCTAGTAATTTGTGTGAAATTATTAATATTCCTTACGTGTAAAATTTTATTTTGTAACAGAGATGAAACACTCGAAGCATTAAGTGACGCTCAAGTTGTGGCACCAATAGTTCTTACTGCTGATACACATTCAGCGCTCCGACGAAACTCATATTTATACGTGTTCGACTATCAAACTAAATATGGCGACTATCCTCAGGTAAGCAATTGCGATTTATTTAAATTATTGTAATCGTTAAAGTGTAACTTCTTTATCAACTTAGTAGAGAAATTTAATATGGTATTAAAAAAGTCACGTTTCTTTTTAATGTTTCAGCGCCAGGTTGCATGAGTATACTATTATTTAACGTACTTAATGTAAATTATCTTTATATAAAAATCAATCGCTGTCCGTTATATAAAACTATTATTTACGGATTTCATCACGTTTAATTACTACTTTAACTTATTTTTACTATCCAGACGTTTCGGGTGCTTAACATCACCCATGGTCACCTGGGGGATTCCCCCCCCCCGTGCCCATACACAACAAAGCACCCGAAACGTCGGTATAATAAAAATAAGTTAAAGTAGTAATTAAACGTTAAAATCCGTAAATAATAAGTTTATTCTATGTGTAGTGTTCGCGTAAATTTAAAAAAAAATCTTTACGCTGTCCGTTATTCTCGCTTTGAATGGCTAAATGGTTAAGATTCACAATTGAACCTGGTAGGAACCTATTTTCAAGATCCATAAATAAATATACAATAAATGTGGAAAGATATATCATAAATAATTTTTAATTAATATGTGTGTACACAATTACGCGCCTAAGTAAGTAATATTTACTATCTCTTTATCTTAAATTATCATATAATTCTACTTCCCGCAGTATAGTTTAAATAATGATGTATGCGTTTTTTTTTTGTTGAATGGCTGTAGACACTATCAGTCCGTAGGGATTATCGGCTTTAACTAATAAAATACTCAATTATACGATTAGTAATAGGGAAATGACCTTCTACGATTGAGTTGGAAAATGTTTGTTTACGAGATGCTTGGTTTTTATCAGATTTAGTGAGCACAAATAAGAGAGGTTTAGTAAATTTGTACATAGTTTGACTTTTCAAGCGTAGAAATGTTTTATCGCGTGTTTGTTCTTCATTCAAGCAGTCGATTTTTTTATTACTCGGTCAGTATGTTATGTTATACAGCAAAAGTGAAAAATTAATAATTTGTAGTCTTTAACGATAACATTATTCATTAATGAAGCATATTATTACATAAATTAAGATGTTTAGTCGTTAATAATTACCTACCGTTTAGAGGACACTACGCTATAATTACCTTTAAAATTATTACAAGTCTCCTTGTATTTTCACACGTCTTCGTTATGAGCTAAGTCATTAAATGTAGACCAACTTTGAAGTACCTTGAAAATAAACTATCAAAGTTTTGTTTAAGGTCTTGTTAAAATGGTTAGTTGAAAGCTCCTATTAATATAAACTGCAAGCTCTCAAGTTACCTCGTTTGCTAGGACGGATGTTCAACTAACGAGATAGTAAGCCAATGACTTGGTCAGGAGACCAACCGAGCTTAAATTACTCGCTCGTTATAAAGCGAACGGTTTCTCGTCTTCATAGATACTATTCTTATTATATTTTAATGCAAGTAGAAGAGGTATTTTTTTAGTTATAAGAGAGATAGATAATTTACTATCTACTCACCCTGTTTTCGCGTGGCTAGAAGCATTATTTAAAAAAAATTGCGAAAAAAAGACCTGGTTTTTGGTACAATAATATATCCCAGATTCCACCTGGAATTGCTTTCTATCTGTTTGTAAAATTTCGTCACAATCGGTTAAGACACTTCGAAGATTAACTCGGACAGCGAGATAAGAATTAGATAGATGGATAAAAAATTAGAAAAATAGAACTTATTTATACCTTAAATGCATGCTAATAACCCTCTGAGCTTAATACAAACCAGTCTTTTCAATTTTACAGACATACAATACCATTTTATGGATACGTATAGATTATAAGTCCTTATTTATTTATACTTATTTATTAACTTAAATTTCACCTGAGTGATGAAAAAGTAGTAGAAAATGTTCAAGAAGGCCGAGGTGGTAACTTATCAATAATCATCACACTTTCTTAGCGCAACAATTATCTATTCACTATCGCTTGAGGACTTATTCACGTTCCAATCGCTGATTAGCTCAAAACAGTAGTTTAAACCTGTTTATATCCATCAACCGTTTATCTTACACAAATGCTAATTAATAATAACTTTCGTAAATTCTATGGTTTAAATAGATAGTATGGATTTTTTTTAGATTGATACAGTATATGCGTATGCTGTCAAGAAAACTAAACAGATGTTTTTTTTTTAATTTCCCCCTTTAGCGTCAATGCTTAAAATATCCGAAATAACTGACAAATTTTAGAAACAAAAAATAAACTCAATCTGAAATATCCCAAGGAATAAAATGTACAAGAAAAATATTGTTACGAGCTTAAGGCGCGCAACAATATTTTGATTTGGTTTAAATATATAAGAAATATAAAAATTCAAACTATGTGAAATTGAATTTGCTGTGGATAAAACGATTATTTTCACCTATTTATTTTACTTAGTAAATTACAAGTACCCGGTTGACAGAGCATTGCTCGGTATTTTTCGCTCGGTTTTTTTTTAATTCGTGTGTTTTGGAAATTATATTTAGATACAAATTACATACTGATGAAATACGAATAATATTTTTTGATCGTAGCGACGTAATGGATAAAACTGAACTGGTTATTTGAATAAAAAATCATGAGTGCAATTAGTTTAATTTAAATTTTCGTGTTTTTAAAAAATACTAAAAAAGGGCTCGCAAAATAATTAAGAATAAAATAGCTTCATTACATTAAATAAATAATTTAAAAGTAATATAAAATCAGCAAAGGCTATTCGAACAAGCGTAACGTCAGGCCACCTTAAGAGCCGCGGAAACACCTGATGAAACTCAACACAGACTCATTGAGCAAGCTGAACGTCAATCTACTATAAGGGCATCTGAAATACCAGAATAGACACAGGCGCGAAGAGATGAAAATGTACAGCTCCAAGCTGAACGTCGACAAAATTTTCAAAGAAACAATTGGTCGGTTTTTAATGATGCAGCATTCAATTGTGTTGGCGCGACTTCTAACGCCGCCTAGCGACGCACCGGAACACCAAACTTTTAGCTACGAATCAGAGCTCGTCATTGTTAGCAACCAATCACAGCACGTCGTGCAATTAGTTATAAGATCTGTCTGTATTAAATTTTGATTATTACCTGATACACACTGTTAGCAGTAAGACGACTTAAATATAACCAACAAACGTTCAATAAATCAATCATTGAAGAGCACCTGCCTCCCGTTCCTGTACATAAAGTGGTCCTATCGAGCCGAATAAGGAGTTCAAGCTTGGAATCTCCGAAGATTCGTCGCATCAAAATACGAAGAGGAGATTCACGTATCGAGCGAAGAGCTGCAACGTTAAGGCATCGACAGACAGGAGTGGCAGGTTTGAACTTCCCGTCCATTTCCCCATCTCATCCTTCAATAGGTGTTGATTTCGTGCTGATATTCCATTTCCAGTGCTCAAGTGGCGGTACCTACCTGCGCAACGGCACCCACCTTGGTTCGCACGCATCTACAAATTGGCAACTGTAAGTACTCTTGATTTCCTTAATTTCCCAACATGAGTGAGCCCAAATTGCCAGATTTAATTAAGAAAAGAGGAGTTTTAAAAGGTCGATTAACTATGTTTGAAAATTATGTTAAAAAGTACACTTTACCCTTGACTGAACAACAGTCATTAGAATTAAATTTACGTGTCGAGAGTACTTCGAGTTTGATAGAGATGTATAGTGAAATACAGACTAAAATTGAAGAAGAGGTAGCGGAAGATCTCGATCTTGTAAAACAGCTGGAAGAGAGAGATCGTTTCGAAAATCAATTTTATTGTGCTGTAGCTTCTGCAAAACTTTTATTGAGAAAGGAAGTAGCTGACAAGTCTAGTGTTTCAACATGTAAGCTGATAGGCATAAAGTTACCCGATATTAAAATACCTTCCTTTGACGGTTCATACGATTGCTGGCTAGAGTTTAAAAATTCTTACGTTAGTATGATTCATGATCGCGATGATTTAGGTCCTGTTCAAAAATTTCATTATTTAAAATCGTCATTGTCCGGTACCGCGGCACACGTCATAGGTGCATTAGAATTTACAGCTCACAACTATTCTCACGCATGGCAGCTATTAGAGAATAGATTTAATAATCCGCGACTATTGGTTCATAATCATGTGAAGGCATTATTTAAATTTCCATCGTTAAATAAAGAGTCCGCTTCCCAGATTAGGAACTTAATAGATATTGTTTTGAGAAATTTGCGTGCCCTTAAAACGTTAGGTGAACCAACAGATTCATGGGACACTTTAATCATTTACATGGTCGTTTCCAAATTAGATCAGGCCACTGAACGCGAATGGGAAAATTTTCAAGGTACATCTAGTTCGTTAATTGAATCGAGGTCAGCTTTGAAACTGGATGACTTACTTAAATTTCTTAAGGACCGCGCCGATGTTTTAGAAATGATAAAAGTCAACCATAACAAATCCCACGAGAACAAAGGCGGCGAACAAACGCGCTCTAAGAAACAATATACACATACTCATGTTGCTACGAACGTTACTAACAATAACAATAAGGGTAATACGAAACTAAAACAAAGCCGCGTGTGTGTGATGTGTCATGGTAATCACGCGATTTATTCCTGTTCAAGGTTTCTTAATTCGTCTATCCAAGAAAGGAATAAGATAGTTAAAACGCATCAGCTGTGCATCAATTGTTTACGCGCAACCCACCCACTTGACGAATGCAAGTTTGGGCCATGTAGGTTGTGTGATAAAAGGCACAACAGTTTGCTTCACATTGATGGGCAGGTAGACGGCGCATCACAGGTGAGCGGGTCGAGTGCATCAGCACAGCCGGTCACCGCTAACGTCTCCACTGTCTCGTCATCATTACACGTTACGGCTAACCATTCAGAATCGCAAAACAGTAATCAGGAATATTCGTTATTACCCAACGTTTTGCTGTCCACAGCGTTAGTGGACATAGCAGATTATAATAACAAATATCACACTGTACGCATTCTGCTAGATAATGGTAGTCAA